TGTGATTTGGTTCTCACTAACTTAAATCTGCATATTCATTTTGCTGGATGTTCACCTTTGTGCACCACATATTTATATAATTCAAATGTCTGACGGTTTAACGCTGAGCAGGTAGTGTACACCTGCCTGAGCTCAGCTTGTAGGCAGCTGTCTACAGTTTTATGTGGAAGGACTGATGATAACCGCGAGAGTCATCCATGCGGTATATTTGGGCTGTAAAACTAAAGCAATGTCTTTAAAGAATCTAAATGGTGCATGGTGCTATAGAACTGGACTCCACTAAAACCATTTTGACCATCAAATACTCATAGCCTGCAGGCTTGTAGCGTGCTCCTACAGAAGACTGCATCTACAGTCAGCTTGGGCTCACAGCCATTACAGTATATTCCAGCAGTGATCCACATTCATGTTGAAAACAGTATCAAAACGTCTAAATGAAGTTCTAAAATAACTCCTGCAGCTGAACCAACTTCTCTCACCATTGTCCATCTGTATGCTGCAAACACACAGCACAGTTGGCTGCTTCCGTTTGTTTGCTGATGTTGGCTGCAAAATGAAACTTTTTTTGTTGCACTCACTCCCCATCATACTGGAGCACATAATGTAGCTCACTAGAAACTGACTTTCTGTCTTTCCCACAATGACTGGGGAGACAGGTGGGATCTCGTTGCAATCCAATTAGGGTCTAATGCAAAAACATACAGTAGAATGGGATAACAAATGATTGCATAGATAGAGTATGCTATTGCCAGTTTTTCAAGTCAAGAAATAAACAATAGATTGTGCACTTACTCAAAATGCAGGATAGTTGAACTGCATTAAGGTCTATCGCAGTGACTGATCTGTGAGAATCCCTGAGTGACTTAGAGCGATGTCTGGAGTACTGGTATGCAAGTTTTGAAAGAGTAAGTTCTTCCTCTAACAAATGAAAAGTCAAATTGATAAGCAAGACAATGCAACCTTGGTCAAAATAATACACTGAGTAGTTTTGCAGCTACAGCTGTACTTACTGTGGTGGCTAATGTTAGCTAGCTTTAGTTAGCAAACTTTAGATACGTAGATACTGCTGCCTAGTTACTGACATTACTGAGTTTATATGGTGAATTTATGATGTTTGCTACCACAGAAACATTAGCAAACAATCAACATCATGTAATTCTTAGCCAGATACACTGTATGAACTCCCAGCCAATATGGCGTCACAGCACTGTCTCTGCTACTTCCTTAATTCTAAATGACATTGTGTCAGCTGTAGATAACAGAAAACACTGTGTTGCTCTTTTTATCTACTTATCAAAAGCCTTTGAAACAGTTGACCATTCCCTCCTCCTACAAAGACTATCAAACATTGGATTTGATCCACAAGCCATTCAATGTTTCACCAACTACCTCCATGTGTAGAAGTGGGAAATGTTAGATCAGAATGTTTACCAATAACAAAAGGTGTCCCACAAGGTTCAGTCTTAGGACCAGTGCTATTTACAATATATGCAGAACTGTAATGTCCAGTTTTATGCTGATGACACTATTTTATATTGTTGGTCTGACTCTGTAAATTCGGCTGTTGAAAACCTGCAACATTCATTCATTGCTCTGCAAAATGCACACATAAATCTCAAACTTGTATTACATGCTGACAAAACAAAAGATATGCTGTTCTCCAGAGCCAAAAACATGAACCACAGTGCTCTCCACATCTGCACTCTAAATGGAACACTCATTGAACAAGTTCCACATTATAAATACTTAGACAAAGTGAAATTGATGACAAATTCACCTTCCAACCAGATGCTGACGCACTTCCAAAATTTATGAATTAGGCTTGGTTTTTTATACAGAAACAAGTCCTATTTTCCTCTATTTTGTAGAAAGAAGATTGTGGAAGCAACCTTTCTGTCAGTGCTAGATTATGGTTAAGTAATTTATCACCACACCATTATGACCCTGAATGTCATCTAACACTAAGCCCTTAGATTAATAACCAGAGACAACTATAGCACTCATTACTGTTTTCCCTATCAAAATGTGGGTCTTTCTATTAGAAGGGACCAGCATTTATTTTTGTTTTTTTACAAGGGCCTTCCTCAAAAATTATCCTCATATTTGACGTCACTTATTGGATGGAGAGCTGTAACACATAACACACGTTTGCAGGACTGGTTAGTACTGCAGGTACTCTGATTTGGAAAGACTGCTTTCAGATACTTTGCACCACACACCTGGAACGAACTGCGGTGTACTTTGAAACTTGATACTCTGGTTTCAATTGGTCAATTGAGAAATCTAGTCAAAAACCAGGCAGATTTTAACTGTTACTGTTTTTCCACTTGTTGTAACTGACTCATATATACATAGTACTATATTGTGCTTTTTATGTTGTTACATATGTACTCGGGTCTCTCTTGAAAATGAGATCTTGATCTCAATGGGACTTACCCGATTAAATAAAGGTTTATATATTCAAGAATGTCAAAGAAACAGTTTTAATGGTTTCATCACAAAAATAAAATAAGAAGCAAACACATTAAATCTCACCAAGGAATATATTTGTTTTGCATTTGTGCCTCTGTTACACATTATACAGAAGGGATTTTCAAAGTGTGATGCTCTGTGGGCCCCCTGTCAGACAAAATCGAGAGTTATGTGTGGGTTCCAGTTCAGGATTTTTTTAAGGCTGTATTTGTTTACATTTTTGTCAATTTGGCACCATTAAAATACGCTGAATTAGCTATTAGAAGCTCCTGTGTGTAACATGCCCATGGATGCACAAACAGCTGTCACTGAATTACTTTTATATTGGTGAAAAATAAAAACATGGTTATTCTCAGGCAACTACTGGAGTTATGAGAAGAGTCTTTTATCCCGTTTTCTAAGCAGAATTACGGATGTTATTCGCGATAGACATCAAAGATAATGACATCCTCAGAAAGTGTGAGTCACACTGAATCTAAAATTACGTGAATCACAGTTTGAAAACCTCTGGTATACAGAAAAGAGCTGAGAAAATGAGGAACAGAGAGTGGTCCCCAAATGGACTCAATCCAGGGACACACTGTAGTGATTATATGGATGGCATTTTAAACCTCTGTGCCACCAGGATGCCCCACTGACATCATTAAAGCAACTGACCCCAGACAATCTTGGAAAATGAAAGGAAATTCAATTAGCCATTATCCTGTAACTGCCTCATGTAGCCAGAGTGTCCACTGTTCAGCAAAAGTTACAATGCATAGTCTCACTTACAAGGAAGGAAAAGCTTCAAAGAAACTCCTGCTCTTTGATTCAGAGGAAATTATGTCTTAATTTTATAGCTGCGCTTTGTTTTCATTTTCCACCTTATCTAATGAAATCTGAACATTTAGCAGTGTTTACACGCTCAGTCAAACATTTCCCTTTTCAAATTTACATTTAAGACACTCTCAGTGAAACCTTTTAAGCTTATATATATGGCCACATTTATTCAGGTAAATTTGAATTGCAGAAGTCAATGTCTGAGCGAGTTACTGGGATTTTAATTATATTCCCGCACGTCACTTCACATTTCATTGCAGTTGAAATAGTTCAGTTCGAGTGCAGAAAACATCTCGAGGGAAATCTAGAGCATCTAATGGCCTGCTGCAGCTATCATCCAATAAAAAAGTTAGAGGTTTAACTTTATCTGTCATCCTTAGGCACATAATTGCACACACAACACACTCACACACACAGAAGTGCACATTCACACATAGATCTCTTTTATCACATCTTGCCAGACGCTGACAAACAACTGTAATCTCCTGAATACGGCGTCTACTGACACAGTCCATTCTCAGAAACACCAATTTTCAAATGCTCTATTTTCACTTTTCTTATAATGCTATTACACTGAAAGGACAAAGATAAGCTTCACAGTGTGAGAGTGACAGCAGGGACACAGGCGGAGAAAAAAAAAAAAAACAGAGAGTGAAGAATAGGGGTAATAAAGATGGAGGTCGCCGTTTGTCTGTGAAGAACTGTCCAGCTGTGTGAGTCTGTGTCGCCGTGTGTGTGTGTGTGTGTGTGTGTATAATTAGTGTACTTCAGCCCTATTCTCTGAATGCAAATGTATGTTTATGTGACTAAAATTAATTTTCCCTTGACGCTAATTTGACAATACAACTGGCAATTTTTCCACATGTGAAAATCTTTTCACCACCTTGTCATATTTCAGTTTATTTCCAATTTGTTGTGACAGACGCCGGTAACGCATAACACAGCAGTTATTGGGTAATATATGGAAAACGTCAGTCGTGATTACAGTTGTAATGCAAAGGTAGTATGCTAAGGAGTTTAGCCTTCATGTTTCTTAAGTTCCCGTACTGCCAGGCACAGATGGATGACTGTTCATTGTTGTAGCAATAATTTGTTTAGTAGTCAGATCATCAGTTCACCAGGTAATTCAACAATTTTCAGTCCAAACAACTGTCTGAGTAGACGATGAATTAAACCAATGACCCAGTAAGTGGTTCATTGAAGCAGTCTTAAGTCACCTTTCCATCTCCCTGTCAAACAGATTTCTTTTTCCTTGATCTGATTTCAGCACATTTCCACAGTAATATTATTAGTGGACTTGAGCAGGTCATTAAAAGCTGACTGAAGTACTTCAAAAGGTTAATTTATTTTCTAATCGTTCTCCTTCTGTGAACAATTACAATAAATCATCCACTCCACCAAGAACTTTAGCGTCACATTGAGTCGAGAGACTTGGTTTCATTTTATTGCTACAGGCTGAAATAATGTGCGAGCATGAGTGTGTGCATGTGTGACAGCTGGTGGTCTGACAAGGATTTCATTCCAAACAGACTACGGAACATAACCCTGACAGACGGTATAGTGCTGGTTTTTCTGTGCTGTACTCACTGCAAAATGCTAATCTTGACAAGTAAAGTAAAACTTGCAATCCTATTAGGTCCTATTTGGTAGGATAACATCTGATTTTATTGGTGTAGAAATCAGGGGCAACATCAGCCTCTCGTTATTACCTGTTGTAGATGTCGTCGTCCTCCCCTCCCCAGCCCCAGTACTCGTTGGGGAAGCCATTGATCTTCAGAAACTGTTTTTTACTGAGGCCTGACACTCCTCCAAAGTAGCCAGCATAGGGCAGCCTGCAGGAGGAGAGAAGGGAGGAGATGGGATCAGCGAGGGAAGGAGAAAAGGAGAGAGTGGGGAGATGTTACAAGGGAAGCAGTGAATGAATGTTCTTTTACAAAACACATTTTAATTGCCTGATCAAACAAGACCCTTCTTACAGGAGGAAGACTGGCAGCTTTAACTCTCTGCTCAGCTGCACATTCCCTTCTGTGTCAAAGAACTTAAGTGATATTAGTCTCGCCACCAGACAATCAGAGATCTCTGCCTTCTTTAGTTAAGCAAAGCGTCTAAAGACTGACTTGTGAGTCTAAAGTGATATTAGCTTTTTGGTAAAAAATAAATAAATAAAATAACTAAAGAAGAGAAGATGTCCATTGTCCTTTATGTGCAAACACAGCCAAAGCATGCAATGGGTAAAAAACAAATTAAAAATCAATCCCTTTTAACATCCTAATTAGTTAAGTAATCAAGGAGCAAAAAGCCCATTTCTGCTGATGTGGTGAGAAAACAAACATCCTGCAAGTCATCATAATGAGCCATTTTCTCAAAATACATATATATTTTCTCAAAACAATGACTGAGTATCTCAATAAAAATGAGAAACTTTCTCAAAATATTGATTTAATATCTCAAAACAATGAGGAACTTTCTCAAAATAATCAGAAACTTTCTTTGAATATACATTTAATATCTCAAAATAATGAAGAACTTTCTCAAAAATATTGACTTAATATCTCAAAATAATGAGGATTTTTCCTAAAATATTCACGTAATATCTTGAAATAATGAGAGATTTTCTTAAAGTATTGACGTAATATTTCAAAATAATGAGACTCAATACTTAGTTATTATTTTGAAAAAAACTTTTCATAGAAATGATTTACGGGATCTTTTTTTTTTTTTTTTCCCCCTCATCATATAGGCTGAAATGGGCTCCATAACAATGACGGTGGTATGGGCTACCATCCTTTTAATCTTGGCATTACTCATTTACAGCAATAGGACGGTATTATCATGAATAATTTGGTAGAGACAGTAAACAATTTAATCTAATATATTTTTAACATTCAACACAAATCCAGTGCCACCCACAAAGAATGTTAGGATTACCTTCTATTGTAGAAAAAGCCCCTGGAGGTTTTTGTTCATACAGTAAGACATTTTCTATAACCTTTGTTTATGACATGACATCAAATAGCCATGGCTCTCCACTCGGATTATAATTGATTATAATAATTCTCCTTTACTTCCCATATTTCTTGAAGTAAGCAGACAAACTAAACTACGTCCCTGCGCATTTTCCTAGTGCTTGTTAATCTGGAATTATCCTTGAGTCATCATCAGCGTCACATGATGTGATGCATCAGGAGGAGTTGTTATATTTATTTATATGTGGCACGTAGAGACGGCAGAATTAACATCTGAATAGCATCTTGAAGTGTTTTAGGCAATCAGATCTTTTCCTAATGTGTCTTGTCTTGGATGCGTTTTTAAGTGGATAATTTATGGGCGCCTTTCTACAGCAAGTGGATAATCCACAGCCATATATAATCCACTCAAGACACATGAAATGACCTGGTGTACGGAGGGGCCACGGTATTTCTGCATATTGTACTGTTGCAGCCAAATAAACATCAGCTGCTTATAAGACAGATTGCATCGTTAGCTTGAATGCTATACATGCAGAATTGGCCACTTGCAAAGGAAATGTTGGATAATGCTGAATTTAATTGCAAGATTGCTCCAAGGTGAAATTAGATCTTAGAGGAGATAGAACGAGGAAAAGAGAGGACAAGAACACAGGAAATGAAGGGAAATACTATAGATATTATGTGTGTGTGTGTGTGTGTGTGCAGACGGTGGACAAAGGAAGGCGGACAGGTGTTTTATTTTTTCCTCAAAAGTCGTGAGACCAGTGGAGTGGGACGGACATCAGCTGCGAGTGTCATGACAGGCGCCTGGAGTCTAACCAGAGGCTGATGCATGTGTGTTTCTGTGTGTGTGTGTTAGTGTGTGTGTGTATGTACATGTGTGTATATTCTGTACGGTATGTGTTGTCAAAAGTATGACAGCTCCCTGCTGAAAGATGACAAGAAGAAAGTAATGAGACCGTATGTTTCTGCACAAAGTCTCCCAGCAACAATATGGTGAGGAATGCGTGTGTGTGTGCTTAAAAAGGACATGCTAGGGGAGAAGACATAAATAGAGAGAGAGAGAGAGAGAGAGAGAGAGAGAGAAAGAGAGAGAGACTGGAAATTTGATTAACTGCATGTTTTTCTTGAGAACTTGAGCTCATTTTTTTATTAAAACTTGCTAGAAAGAAGATAAAACAAAACTCTTAGAAACAATCTTCAACATTTTTGACTCCATGAACTTCATATCTGTTGGATTATTTCCTCGGAGACGTGAAACACTCATCATCACCTGTTAACTCTCAAACACCTGAGATGCAGCGCAGGAGGCGCGACAGAAATGTAGCAATAATGTTATGAGATGAATTTTGGGAAAAAAGTATGAAATAAAAGAAAGAAAACAAAAACAAACATCTTGTCCTGGTTTAACAATGATTGATTCTCAGTTTTAATATGTTCGCTTGTGTAAGTGATTGACACATAAAAGGTTTAAGGTCATGGTAGCCCCTGGTTTACTTGTTTAAAGCCAACAGTAACATGGAGTAACACCTGGGGTCAGGGACTCAAGGTTTTTAAACTACATTGATTAACATGAAGGGGACCAGCACTAAATCTTCAACCTTATGTCTGGATCATACTCATCTGCAGCTGTTTTCACAAACTGCACTGTTTTTTAAAATATAAATACTGTAATTAAAGGTCAAAGTCCCCTGAGATTTTCAACATCCTGAAAATGTATTTTCTCAATAGGCTTCTTTCTGTGAGTTCTGGGGTTCTGACTGAACAGTTTATGCCAAAGTTGGAACAGTTTTGGTTATTCCACATGACAAATTTTTATTTTTGTTAGTTTTCTGTGCTCTTCTAAATGTTTTGAAGTCAGCAGAGCTCAGTTTGAGAACTGTGATGTCACATGCTTTCAACCAATCAGAATTTATACTTTGAATCAGAGTCTGAGGACAGTTTTGGGGTTGTTTGCCTCTGTTGCCAGCACTGTCAATTAACTCCTAATGGCATTTTTGATGCTGACGGCCCATCCTCCTCTAACACTTTCTAATACCATAGATTAGCAAATGTACACGGTACAATTTTCATACCATGAAACGTTATATCGCTGCCTGGAGAGTGAGAGTTTCGCAATTTTATCTTCCGCTAACTTTTTGCACAGATTCACAAGGGGCTGCGAGATCGTGAACGGCGAATGATGTTCTGCGATGAAGGAGCATGTGCGTACTTTCAGGTTGACAACACGATCTGTCATCGACGCCGGTATGTCAGCGGTGACTGCAGCTCCTGGTAAACACATTACCTGCTTTATTGCACAGCGGTTTTAAGACCGGGGTCTAATTTATGCCGTGATAGGACTTTCTTGCCGCTGGTTACATACATCAATTTATGTGAGCACAATGTGCAGAAACACGCACCCGGTTCCCTTAATTTTTTGCAGCAGCTCCCAAAAGGCTTTCCGTCTATGCCTATCTCTACCTGCCTACCCACACCCAACGCCATGCATTTTTGAGTCCTTTATCAACTATCTGAACGTTTTCCCCGGGTTTCATTAACTTACTTTCCATCTTGATGAGAGTGTCTACGGCATGGGCTCCACTAGAATCTGTAGTTGGCTCTGAACCAAGTTTGTTCCTCTCCCCAAGACCTGCCCCCGCTCTACTTCTGATTGGCTAGTAGCCTAACTTTGGTCTGGTTGGAAGCGAAAGCCATAGGTTGAGGGTGAGAGGTCTCTGTTTAAAGCTCTTCCACCAGAGCCCGTCTACTGTCTGCGATGCATGCATGTACCCCGCATCAACTTTTTTTTTTCCTTGCCGATCGCCGCATGCCGGAAATCTGGCATGGTGCCAGATTCCCATCACCCCTGTGATTGTCCACAGCAACCCTGTTGACATATGCAGTGATATCTTTGCATACTGCATTTTTCCAACATGTGTCAGGCTGCCAGAAAGAACTAGTTGATTATATTTGACATGGGACGTCAACGTTTCCATTTCAAGCTCAGAGAAGTTTCTCTTCTTGGCTGGACTACACCTCTCCATGTCATAAACTGGGCAGCGAGGCCCCTAAACCAAGAATATATTGAGGTTGGATATTTAAATGACAATTGTTTTCAGTGGCATTTATCAATGCCTGATCATTCCTACGCTGTGATTGGCAAGATGAGAACATTTCATGAACCATACACAAACAATATTGTTAGATGACTTCTGCGTTCGGATCTGCGCTGGTTTGTATTTCAGATCAATAAATGAGGGCCAGTCTGCATGAATTCTCTTCTCCATTTTTTCCACACACTGTCTGTCTTTATTTTTTAAAAAATTGACAGTAGTCCTCATGTTGACCCATGTGACTCACTGAATAGCGTGCTAACGTTGCCAGGAGTAGGTCACGCTCTACCATAAATACGCTCTCTGTAAATGTTCAAATGAGCTGCAGCACACTCACACTGAGCTCACCCAGGGAACAAGTACTTAAACAGCCACTAGATTCTGTACAATGTAATGGTAATATTATAATGTAATACATTGCATAAGGTCCTTTGAGAGACTATAATTTGTGGAATGTTTCTGAAAGAGCCGTGTTGTGAAATGGACTTCAAGGTGACCCTTTCTGCTCAGAGAGCTGTCAGGTGTTGTGAGGTGCTAAGGTAATGGAACAGCACTTAATGTGACCTGACTTTCACTGGCAGTGTTTTCACCATTTATCAAAAAACGTACAGCGCTTTTACATCTGAGAGCAGCTAAGGTTGTCTTCCTGAAGTGACTCAGCTGGAATACAACATTTACTCTTTGCTCCGACGTCAGCTTCATGATGCTTGAATCAAGAAATGCCATTAATTCTTTGTTTGTTTCTCCCTTGCTGACCTTTCTTCCTTTAATTTGGGAAGCCTCTTAAATGCTAAATCTGACTAACGAAAAAAGTTACTAGGCTGACTCAGACCACTTTGACCTTGGGAACCAATTTTCTACAATGATCTTATTTCTACATCAGCAATTAGCTGCAATCAATCCTGTGACCTTCTACTCCCCCAAAACACCAGACTTTCCTTTTACCCCCTTTCTCCTTCATTTTCTAGCAACCCAAAAAACTGATGAAACCATTTTAAGTCTTTACTGATTCATTGCTAATAAGAAATGTTAGCTCCAACCCTGCTTACCACCTGGTGTTGTATTTGTTGCCAGATAGCATTAGCGTATTGAGCACTATATCAGGGGCCCGCTGCAGCCCCTGAGGGTTTTCAGTAGGATAACTCTTGTGGAATGACAGCTCTTGGATTGGATAGGTCACATTCACTGGCCATGTTTGGGCCATTAATCAATGCTTCTGGTGCTTTTAGGTAATTGAGGGCAGGTGTGGTGTCATTATGCAAAAACAGACAACTAAAACAGGACGCTACTATTTAGCGCTGGAACTAAACTGTGGAACTCTTTCGGCTACTCTGCATTTTGATGACTTATTCAAGAACTGACTCTCTAATCAGATAATTTCCTACAGACTTAGACTAAATGTCAACATCTAACTGACATGTCATATGGAAAACAGACAATCCGTGGGTTGCTTGTGTAGCTGCAGCACATCACTCAGCAACAGGCCGGTCTAGCAGGTCCAGTATTCCAACAAAGTTAATGAGGGTCTCCGCAGACGCTGTAGTCTAGACTTGTTAGTTACGCTTTGTATCATGTGCTCTTCCTAGGACTACAGAAGTGTGACCAAATAAAAACTGGCAGCAGTGAACTGTGGTGCATTTTCATGCTAATTCAGTCTTCAGACAAGGATTTCAAAGTATAATGAGATTTAGTCAAATTAAATACTGCTCTGTCTATTGTCTGTCTGAACACAGACTTCAACTCTAGTTTTTTTTTTCTTTTGTTAGGCAGCCAATTGCATATTTTAAACTTCCCCTCCACTCAAAATGTGTTTTTTCTTTTGTTTATATCCTCTAAAATGTCTGACCTTGACTATATTGACTTGTATCTGTGCGAAGTTTGTCACTAGAGAGGTGTTTTCACATTCCTCCACTGAGGGGGACAATTTCTGTGCACTTCCCTAAAATCTCAGATTCAAACGCACCCCGGCCAGCTATGTTGTGTATCATTAATATGAACGCAAATCACTGGTATTATTATATACTATCTAACTAATATTCATGCAAAGAAACCGAATATATCGTTATGCAAACTTTTATTAGACCTCTGGTATTTAATCATGTACTAAGCACCAGATATTACTGTAGGTTCTACAACCACTAACACTGTGTCAGCCTCTGCCAGTTATAAGCTAACAAGCTAACAAACTGACTGAGGCTCAAACACGTATGGCTGAATCTCTCTTGATGTTTCCTCTAACGCCTGCCATCTTAATGGGCAAAGCATTAGCAAAGCTCTTTCCCCAGTTAACCTAGCGCTTGTCTCACATAGCCAGACTTATCTCCACGCTTCATTTTAGTTCTGTGCCAGCACTGGACAAAGCAAAAACGGAAAGTAAAAGTGAAACCTAGTGCAAGCAGTGATGGTGGGTGGGGCAGAGTTCAGATCTAGAATTTCCCAATGATTTTTTAGAACTTTTTATGTAGGAGAACTATCCTAAACAAATAATCATAATTTTACATGCTTTAAAATGTGTTTAGTAGGAAACTTTAAGTTCTACTTATGTGTGTAAAGTGATATATAGTAATGATTTAAGTAGACAAGTAAGTGCAGAATCCACCTGCAACAAAAATTACTGATTGGATTCTGGCAAATCGAGACTTATCAAGGTAACTGCAAGTAGAGCTTTGTGCTAATAAGTTGGAAACCACGCTACCTTGTCAAAACCAAAATCACATGTTAAGTTGAAAATTATGCCCTAACCTGAAGCCAAACTTATCCATGGCGATGGCGAAGTGCCTTGGCTGGTCGTAGCAGTGGTAAAGGTTGCGGTCATCCATCGGGATCAGGTCCACGTCGCTAAAGATGAAGCAGTCGTACTCTGCGTCCTTCAAAGCCTCCGTGTAGCCAACGTTCAACAGCTTGGCACGGTTGAAGGTGTCCTCACCCAACTGCAAGAAAACACAACAGGAAATATCGTTATGTAATTGTCTACACTGATGAGGAGGACAGGTGTTGGAGCCTCATCAAACACATCTCATGTCTTTGATCGTATTGTCGTTGGAAACACAAATCAGGATGTACGATATTATGACACCTTCAGATACTGTAAGCCTGTTTATATAATGTACGACATGTGCCTTCAAATTGGGGTATGCTGTCGCTTTGTAAAGTTAAAAGCAGACTAATACAAGAGTGCAAGAGAGCATTGCAGGGGCAATAAATGAGGAGGATAGAATTAATACTGCCAAATATACTGTATATAAAACACTGAGCATAGCGTTAGTTCAGGCAGGATATAATGTAAAGCGCAGCTCACATCCCAGCTACATCAGCTGATCTCAAACAGTCCAATCAACTGATGAAGCAGCTGATAGATGGAAGGGAGTCAGCTGATAGATCACATGATTCCTTTCTATGCAACCAATTGGTGAATCTCATTCAGGGCGCCCTGTTTAAACTGCTCTGGCCTGCCTACTGTTGCTGCTTCCTCTGTAAGCCGCTTTGCAACCCGCCTTCACCCCAGCTCCTCCTTTTCATGTTGTGTCTGACTTATCAGTGTCATTTCTGTTTGTCATTGATGCTGCTCTGTTCTGTTCCCAAGGGTCTCTGCTGCTGCTCTCCCTGCCTTAGGCTTTCCATGTAGGCGCATGGAAGGGCAGAGAGATGTGTCATCTCTGCCTCAGACTCTCCTCGTTTGCCACGGAAGGGCAGAAAGGTTTGCTCTCTCTGCCTTATGCTTTCTGCGTAGGCCTAGGAAAGGCAGAGGGGCCCCAGAACAGAGCCATACTGCAAAATATAATACAGCAAATGGAAATAAAGTTTCCTTTGACTTAAGTGGTCCTTACTGAGTTGCTATTTTCACTATACTGTATGGGAACAACAACTGGATGCTTAACTGCTACAGGCACTGTTACTATGAACAAAGAGAATATGAGTCAGACCAAGCCAAATGAGGTCAGGCTCACATTAAATGTGTGTTTCCATATTAATCTAATATGAACTGATGTGGCTTTTTTGACCTCAAGACAAGTTCAGCTGCCTGAAACAGAAAATACTTATTCTGAGACTCTGCCTAGTTTAACACCTTAAAGTAGACATTCTGGTATTTTTCAACCATTTTTTACCTTTATTGAAGTGGAATCACTATAATGAATTGTTAAGTAATAAATGGTTGTTATTAGTGCAGACAAAATGGGAGTTTACTGGCTAGCTAACCAAACAGCTAGCTTGGTTAGGTGGCTGCCCCATTGTAGTTCCCTGTGCAACTAGCAAAAAGAGCTAATTCAGGGGGCTAATTGTGTGTTTACTCATGTTTGGACTCAAACATTTGAACGCTTTATGTCATTTTAATCCGTCTAGAAAGCTTTAGAATTTACTGCTTGCCCCAGTAAATGCTTGCTGGTCTGTGTTTCCCAAATCTCTGTAACAAAGTCCAAAGTTTAATCTGTAGTCAGAATGGCCAGAATTATAAAAGAACCCTGGTTGAAAAATACCAGAATATTCCTTTAACACAGCTAAATCCATCATGACCACCTAAGATGACACTCCGGTTTCAGAGCATCATTAGACATCAGTATTTAGTTTCTGCAGCGCTGGTCTGTACTTATCTCTACAGGCAGTGTGTTTGTATTGAACCCAAGAGAGCTGGCTGCTGCAGTGAAACGCATCTGTTTTTCAGTCTCTGCATGGCCCAGGTTCAACACTTTGGCGAAGATAAATGCATTCTTGCCAAGCTGCACAGCGGTGCAAGATAGTCGGGTTAATACATATACGACAGCTATGAATTCAGTAATGTACAAGGTATTCCAGAGTATATCTCTTTCTGCAGAAAGAGGGCAGGGAGGTCAGTGAGCAAGAAGTGAAGCTACTGTGCAACCTGACACTCTTTGGCAGATACTTCTCTGACGCACGCTGACAGCCCATCCTCCTCCAATTCTCTCTGAATTCATTCCACTTTTCATGACAAGTACAGTGAGAAAGGTAAGGAAGTGGATAGAGAGACAGAGACGAGCTGTCCAGGAGTGAGATAGAAATTCAAACCCTTTGTAATGTCAGTACCTGGTACATGCATTAACAGAATCATCAAGACTAGATCCCCTCAGGAAACGCTTTTATTCACTTTACTGTACGACCAGTCCATTTATTTGAGTACAAATGGCCTCAAGTTCCTTTGCAAGTGCAGGTACAATTTTTATATTCATTGTAGCATCAGCCAAACATGGATAACTGCATATCAGGATGATAAATGAATCACTTAAGACAAGTTACAGCTATAAAATGTGAGGATTTGTTTCGTTTTACCTGTCTAGTGTCAAGTCTGTTTTATTAGTATAGATCAATATCACAAATTTACCTCAGGTGGCTTTATTGGTTGCACTAAACAAGCTATTCTTATTTTTATTTTTTTTAGGTCAATTAATTTAACATATTTAAAAAGTACAAACACAAAATAAAACTTATGAGCAATAAAAGCAAAAACAAGAAGGATCCTCAGCAACATATAAGTTACAGAAATTATATGGTTCATGTTCAAAAGGGGTAGGAAGAAGTTAAAAACTTTTCTGGACCTAATCCCTCTGATTTTTATATATTAATCATAGACAATAAAAATTCAATAAAAGCTGTCAATGTCCACGATATTTATGTCGATCAGCTTAAACACATAAACCTTTTTGGACAGAGCAAGAACAAAATAATTGGAACAGATGTACCAAACCCATCAAACAGTCCACAAACAAGAAATAACCAAATAGAGAATCACTGGTCCAGCTTGTTTCTGAAGAGTTTTATTTAGTTTGGATCAAGTCTTACACTTTTTAAGCTCATCATTACAGTTACTCCATAGAACAGTGAAGTTTTGCATTTGGTCCTTAATGGTGTTTTTTTTAAATATACAGGTTCCTCTCAACTTGTATTTGATTTCTCTCTGCTGGAACAACCCTTGGATGGCACTGGGCAATTGCTGATTAGTTGCCCTGAACATAATTTGAATTGCTTTATAATCAATTAAATCTTGAAATTTTAGTTTTTTTGTATCATTCATTTATCAATTAAACAAGGAAATAACTGGCAGATTAATTTGAAATAAAGTATTCATTAGTCAGACCCTGTGTCACATGTAAATATAAGAATTATCTTATTTACAGGAAACAAAGTTATTTAAAGGTAAACTATGCAAGAATTGTGCATTTTGCATTTGCGTTTCTTTCAAGCTGTGTCCACGATTTTCTCAGCTTCCTCTATGAATCCTTGGATGTTTGCAGCTTATGGTCTGACACTTGGTCCCTACCTTTTTATGAAGTCCCAACCTCACCTGCGTGCTGTGCCCAGAAACATCCTGAACACAGCCAAATAAAAATAGAATAAAAAAAGAATACAGACAGAGGGCAGAGTCTCAGATAAACAGCAGATAAATGCACTGCCACACACTTCCAGTGGGTCATAAGTCATGATTTTATTTATTTGTTTATTTATCAGGGACAATGCATATTAATGAACAGTGAACTGTAAATATATATTGAGAGGGATTACTTTTGTTTATCCATACCTTGGCTTTTGGGATAACCTTGTATAGTTTACTTTTAATATGTGCAGCCAAAGACTGCTATGCTTTAATCCTGTTACCTCAGGTTATTTGATGAAATAAAACCTACTGTACACATGAACTATTTGACACAGCTCAGAGAGGAAATATCTAGTTCTTCGGGTTGAAAATCCAAAGATTATATAACAACTGTAACACTATTTATCAAAGGGTAAGCGCAGATGTCAAGGTCTGAAAACCTGATTGTGAATTTTTTTTTTTTTAAATGCTCTTTGTTTTTAGAGCTTTTTGTATTATTGTTTGCTGGAAAATATGATTGTATGCTGTCTCGTAAGCAATTGGGGGATAGGCATAATAGCAAAACACTTTATTCATTCATTACCAACCTAGGTTTTTGTTTTATCCTTCAAAAATTCTGCTTGGGTTACTGTCCTTGTTAAAAGTTTGCATATGTTTGTGAACGCTATGTTACAATTTGATGAAAGAATACTGATGAAAAAACAACTTTGTACATTCTTTGTAATATGTGTGAGATAACTGATAAAGTTACAGGAACAATAGTGAGCTACAATGAACTGTATCTACACTGAAAAATGAGCTTTAGGAGTTATCATGACTGTAATGTGGACTCTCATGCAAATCTGCCTTGTGTCGTTCTGTTAAGTCCTTCTGCAGAAGCCTCGAAGACATGAGGGGCCCCACATGACAAGATCACATGTTTATGTAGATGTGGCTGGGTCCCAGTGCGAAGCTTCATTCCTCATATAGAAAAAGGATCCCACTTTAATGAGCGTCTGAGCATCAACAGTATGTAGCCGAACAATGAACCACTGTTACACATATTCTGCAGTCATGTATTCTTTGGCCATTTGGGAAAACCACCCACTTTTGACAGCACGGAGAATCTCCGAGATGATTAATGCATCTGCTGCCTGTCCTTACTCCTGTTCTGAATACAGGTTTTTTTTTTTAGGTACACTTGCGTTCATACTGGTGCATTATCTGTTTGGACTGACAGTGAATCAAGTACAATGCGTAATCCCCCTGGTAAACCCACTAATACCTGAGATTTGAGAGCATAATCCCCTGTGCAGGTAACAAAAAAATCTATTGTCACAAATCCACTGCGGCTCCAAATATCAGCTGAAGTGGTCTTCTGTCTGTTTTTTGAACAACAGTCTGTTCAGTAGGTTGGAACAACATCATATGAGGTTAGGCGAGCAAAATATGACCGATCAGCCCAGAAGATCAGCAGCTGATATTTCAGAATGAAAAGTGAAATTAATCTTAAAAAAACAAGTGTTTTACATCAGTGATAAAACATTGAGTGGTTCTTGTAGACTGGGATAAAATATGTTTTGCAAATTAACAGGTGAGTTCTGATGGAAAAGTAAATCAAACAAT